ACAATAACTATTGAACGGAGTATAGTCTGGTTCAAGGTTATTTTATTTCAAAGGTTACCTGGTAACTATGTGGGCGGAAGTGGGAGGGACGGAATGTATACGTCATCGAGAATTCTGACATTGACGTTCAACGTTGTTTGTAGTCGGGCGGGTGCTTATTTTTCTTGAGTTATAGTTTATTTGTTTAAAATTTATTGAATTTAGAAGTGCATAAGGACATATTTTAGCTGTAGATACCTGTTTGGTGCAATATAAAGACATTTAGTTTGTGAATTTTGTGGGTTTTCATAGCCGTGATTGAAAGGTTAGTTCATTTTAGATGAGTGGCGGTAACACTAAAATTCCTCATCCTGGTGTAAATAAAATCTCGGTTTTTACGTTTCCCAAAGACCCCACCGTTCTTAAAGAATGGGTAAGAAAATGTTTCACATCCGGCAGCAAACTAAAATGTGCTGCGCCCTCATTGGTCAAAACGGCCAACCGATGAAAGCGTAGCGTCCCTGGCCGCAAACGTTTAAAAGCAGAGCCACGAACTCTGCAAAGTGCAACGCAATTTCTGCTTCGACTGCACTTCAAAAAACAAAAAGCTCTCCACCTGCAGAACCAGGTCGCCTTGCCAGCTCGACCTCGCGCCACACTCCATCAGTCAGAAGACTTGCATCTGGGCTCACCCCAACGACAGAGCTCGCCGTGTGCACCTCGGTTACCATTTTGTACATACTATAAATATACATTTTCCATAAAACGCAACAGCATTTTATTTGGCGTCATCCGCTAAAGAATGTTTAGAGTTTTAATTCCCAAAGGCTAGGTATTGGTACATAGGGGTGGTTCCTATTTTGTAGAACGCGGAATTTTATCCATTTTCACCTCTAAAATTAATTTGATTACATTTTCACAAGTCCTCGTGCAATGTAAAACAGCTTACGCACCACACTGATTTTTGCAATATTTTGATTACTTTCAAAGGTGGAAGTCGATAAACTTCCAAGATTTCCAATATAAGATCCACCCTTATATACATATACCCATATAAATCCAAAAATATACTGCAAAAACTAAATTGTTTACCCCTTTTATTAGCATTGTAACCTATGAGCAATTTTAAATGTGAATTCTGGATGACGTTTTCCCGCCTTCAAAATGCAAGCATTCTATTGGTTTAGAGTTACCAGACAACCTTTCTAATAAAACAACCTTGAGTCTGGTTTGCCTCCGTCATGGAAACTAAAGTTTCCTGACATAAAGTAGGCATGAAAATGAAGGTCTCATGACGATTTTGGGTAAATTTCATTATTATCAGTATATTGTTTATCTTTTGTGTATAAAGGAGAACCGAAAGTGAGCTTCCGGCGAAAGTTTGTCGCAATTCCAAATACAACACTTCGTACTGTTCTCCCAGTTATTAAATGTGACGTTTTTGTCTAATGGTCATTTATAAATAATCTCGTAAATAATATTTTCACATAGCAAGAAATTATTAAGAAATGCCAAAATCAAAATAATTTTCCTTTGGGACCGAAACTGAACATAAAAATGAAATTCCTAGCCTGAACTGTATGCACTGGAGGAACAGTATAGAATTTTGCATTCTGGATAACTGGAAAACGGATGAAAACAATGGTATGGGGTTTGCCATAGGGTACAAGCGAGCGCATACAATGCGTAACCCATTTCAAAAACGAAATTTCTTGCTTCAAAAAATTGAGGGGGTCAAATTCACATACCTAGGTCTTTTTACAAGGAGGTATTCGAAAAGCAAACTTACAAAAGGGCATCCGAATGTTCAGAAAACAAAACTTTTACAAGTTTCTCCAAAAGTTAAAGCAATTGCTACAATTTCAATTGTCCTAAATTAGGCGTTGCCTGACTCTCCGTTGATTAGTCGCCTTTTACGACATGCAGTGTCTCTGCAGTAGGGTTATTCTTTCCCGTCCCTACACGGGTAGGTAAACGCCGTTTTGCCCGGACACCAACAATTTTTCTAAAAGAATTCGTGTTTCGATAAGGACTATAGTGAAAGGGTGAATCTTTGATTGTGATCTGTATGGAATTGCTAGTGAAATCAATCAACCCCACAAAGTTTTTGATACGCCGCGATTTAAACCAGTAAAGAGACCAGTTGGAAACACTACCATTTAAAAAAAAACGATGACCCATATTTCAACCAGTTTAGGTCATTATGAACATTTCGATTGTTCACTATGTCTAATCATATTAACTTAAATTAAACTGAAATGGGTTTTAATATATTGCAAAACGCGATAACAATTAGGAAATTAAAATCCGTTTCGTTTGATGAAAATTAGCGTTAACGGTTTCGGTTAGTTAAAACAAACACAAAAAAAGCACTAAAAGTTTAAAGGCTGACCGACTTGCACACGTCAAAGAAGGAAAAAAAATCTCACTCGAACCGGTTAAAAGAGCAATTAATTCCCCGCGTTAACCTTGCACTTGATTTCTTTCGAGGCGATTATTAAGATCGAGTCCTTGATGTACCTCCACCTTATTATTATTATCCACAACAAAATAACCGCGCCTAATTTATTTTACACGTGCTTTAGTCAATTACAAAACGATTACAATTGATATCGGAAACCTTGAGCGATTGATTGGTGTTTTCATAACGCTTATATACAGTTAATTTTCTTTAGAAGCGGAAAAATTTAATTAAAAGCGCCGTTCCGTAATTTGATTCAACGGGCGGACGTCACGAGTTTGTACCTATTTCGGGAGCTGATCAAAGTCGTCTGGTTCGCAAAAAAAAATGGCGAAAGTAAAAAAGTTGTACAATACGAAACACTAAATGGGATTGATGACAAGAGTCCAGTCATTTCAGTGGGGCAACAGTTCTTTCGGTAGGTATGGTGCAATTGGCAATATTGCAATTACTAAATTTTGTGTTCTGAAGTCCATTTTTAGAAAAAATAGAAATGGAGGAAGTTCTATAGGAATATATGTTGGAGGGAGAATAAAATTGAGGGGATTGATCAATGCGAGTAAACGCTTAGGGGATTGAAGCTGTTCAAGCAAAAGGGTTCTATTCTCATCGACAAGCTCTTTTAATTTTCTATTAAAGACCTGAAAATTGATTTTGGAAACTTTGAAATTATGGGAGATCCTTCATGTCTCTTTTAATAATCAGATTTTTATTCACGCATATAAATCATAGAGTTCATGTTCTATATCTTGATAATATGTATATAAATAAACGTTCTTTTAGCAATAATTTGATAAACGTATATATCACCACTTTGATTTACTGGCTGGAATATTGGTCCTCCACTAATAAAAATTAGGCATATTCTAAGTAACAAAATATTATATTATATATTATTTATGTGATAATCTAACGAAATTGGTATAAAAAATGTTGAAAATAAGTAGATAAATAAACGTTTTCTAGTATTAACCTGAAAAACGTATACAGTGCGTTCGAAATAAGAGGAGATATCTCTTTCATTTGGCGAGAAAGGATAAAATTGACAAATATAATTTTTTTGTGACAGTACGATCTATCTGTTCGCATATTCAAACGGCACCACTTCCGGTTTAACCGGAAATCTTTGCAACTTTTGTTTTTCAAATGCAATGCCTATGTTTTTTACGATATTTAAAAAGAGTAATCAATTTTCTGTATGACATCATAAAATATAGTTGATATACAAACAAAATGGAGAAATTCGAGAATCAACATTTACAAAATTTTTGAAATCTAGCATGCCGATGCGAAGGCAGCAAGAACCCAAGTTTACAAATAGGTAATGAAGAAAATAGACCCTGAATATGTTCATGATGGACTTTGTAATTATTATGTGCTTATAAAAATCAGACTTTTTGATTTGACTAAATATACATCATACATACAATCTACCAAGTCCATATATTGCAAAATTTAAACGTATTCAGTAAACACATATAAGTCGAATATCAATGGGAATAATAAACGCATAATATATCCCCCGGACATTTATGTGTACTATATACCAGTATATAATTACGTTTTTTATACGTAGTGTTTTAGTCTATTATACAAACGCTTTTTACGTACGGAACTATGTTGCTTGGGCATACGTAAAACCCTTAAAAACCAATGATCTTAATCAAAAAGCGTCTTTTACCTTTTCGATAGACAAGTTAAAGATCCTGAATTTTTGTAATAAAAGTGTGGGACTTCACTCTTTGGAGATGAAGCCATACACAAAGAATTTGGAATAACACTTTTCCGGTAGAAACTTGTATTTGCACATTTTAAAACTTTTGTGTAGCGTTTCGAATTGTTTCCCCGTAAGTATTTTCAAATTTATGAGAATAAATCATTTTTAGACCAAAAGGAAAAATACGAGCATTCGGTGTAAAACTAATGTAATTCTAACAGAAGAATTAAAAATGAATATTCGTTGACATAAAGTAAATGACATGCATTTTGCGTCTTTTTATTCTATAAGAACTAATAGAAAAATAAAAAAAAAATACAACCGGAATCGAACTACAAATTTTTACTATTGAGAAACCATAACTGAAGTTGAAACTTATTCCAAACAATCAGATTCATCTAAGTAAAATCCAGTTTTTGTGCTAGTATATGAATTATGCTGGCGTAAGCATATTTTGTCTTAGAAATGCGTCTCAACTCTCAATGATATAAGTACTTATGATGGTTATATTCAAGCAACTTGAAGTGCGAATCTATGAATTATACTTTTCTTTTCCTAGAGATCGAAAATCCGTTCTGCAGATCCATTACTTCATTTGCTTAAAATAATGCAAGGTCACCAATTAGGAATTTACAAAAAAAAAAGAAAAATCATTCACAATTTCCATTAATTATTATTAATATTTACACCACTTGTAAAATATGAATAGCTATTACCTAATTATTGAAAAAAAAATGTTAAAAACATCGCAAATCAACTCTGACAGTTTTGCTACCGTTGGTGGGATTATGACATACGAAGGCCGGTGGGTTCCAATGGCGATACCCACCACATATCGATGCAAAATACCAAAATGACACAAACTAACACTTTGCAAAGATTTATTGGGTGAGGTTTTTGTTAAGCTTCTCTTGTATATAAGCGCAGCGTGCCTCTTTTCTTTGTGGTAAAGAAACCGACATCAAGATGTTCAAATCGGTAAGTGTTCCCGAACTGTATGTATGATTTTCGCTAATTATTACTTTTCAGTTAGTTTTCGTTGCACTGTTTGCCTTTGCTTTGGCCGCGCCGGCTCCTGAACCAGAAGCCAAGCCGGATGTAGCCTTGATCAGCCCCGTTGTACCCATCGTAACTTCACATCACTCGGCGGTGGTACCTCTGGTGCCCTACAGCGTCCTACATTCCCCGCACGTAGTTTATCCAAACTATTACGTATATTAAGATGATGCAACTCATTGAATGATTCTACATAATTTCTAAGACCAAATATAATTAAATAATACCCAAAACCACTTGATCATTGAACGTAAATTTGTAAACTGTTTCTGTGAAGGTAAATGTTACATAATAATAGGTAGCAACTTCATATCTCTATCTCATACTTTTTGTTTAAACCTGAAAATATAAAAGTCAGAGTACAGGGTGTCTGTTGAAAGTTTATACATTTATCATTTATTTATTTAGTGCACAAATTGAGTACATGATCTTAAATATGCCACGATGAGGTCACAGCTAGTATACTACTTTCCATGTCCTTTCACATCTCTTGTTCCCATCCTTCTGTTCTTCGGCCATATTTTCTTCCATTATCCTCTCGATGATTCTATTCAACACTCTCAACTCACTATCAACTCGCTGTCTGTCCTACCAGATTTCTTTGTTCCATTTCTTTTTAGACAGATGTATCATCAAGGAAAACTTCAGGCCATTTCTCCGATTCATACACATCATTAGATAGAGATGTTAATTCCTTCATTCCTTCCATCTATTCCCTTCTGTTTCCACTTCTAGTTTCCTTGGCTTTCATTTGTTTTAATTTTTCCGTTCTTGTCTTCCAGATCATTGTTACAACCAGCTCTGGACTCCTAGGTAACCTATTTAATCCTGATGTTAATAATATCGAGCTTTCCTAACTTTTCTGTTTTATTATATTGATTTTCCCACCACTTTTTCCTAGGTTCATCAATTTCTTTTTTCCGTATAGTTTCTTCCTCCTTCGATGTTGATGTTTTTGTACCTTCTTCTCTCTTCCATCTTTGCTATCATTTCCTGATTTATCCTAGGCGTCTTTGATCTTATTCCTTTCTCTTCAGCTGATTTTAGTATTGCCGCCTTGATTTTATCCAACTTGCACTCTATATCAGCTTCTTCAATTTGTGGCGACTTTGGATTCATTATTGGTTCATCGATTATATTTCTTCGATTTTTGCCTAGTTAAGCCTTGCATTCCTCGGTAGCTTCCTCTGCGCCTTTTGTCCAAAGGACGAGGTGATTCCCTTCGGTTTCATTTGGAGATTTTGTTTTGTTTTTTGTATCCGTGCTAACTAAGATCAATCAATTAAAATCGCTGACGGTCAAGCATGCCATTTCAAAGTTTTAAAAAATATGATACCTTGATCAATCGCATAAAAAAGGTAGAGGTTCTGATATATCAATGTAATGAGAAAAAAGAATGCAATTGACGTTATTAATATACAGGGTGTTGCATTTAAAAATACCAACTTTGGGTCAAATTTCAGAAACGGTGCTCCACACATTTTTTTTTACTACGCAACTGGATTCTACGTAAAAATATCTAAAATATTCAGTTTTCATCATTTTTTCTATATTACATGAGCAGTAAGATATGATAACGTTCCAAAGAGTCAAACTTTCCGTCTGTATCTCAGAAATAAACATAAATAGCTAAATTGATTTTGTTTATGGTATTAAAAGTTAAAAAAAAATGGCACAGGATCGCAAAACCCGCAAGTTTCCCTCTTTAAAAACAGCTGATATACACTGCAGTTTCAACCAAAATGGGACACATGGTACAGTAGGAAATGGAAACGTGGACAAATTGTTTTTTTCCTCAAATTTAATCACAGCTTCATCTTATGACGATCCTTCTTAATTTGACAAGAAATAAATTATGAGATTTAAGTTGGGATACTGAGAGGATTTTACGTCAAACGCTAACCAATCATTATACTTATTTACATAACAGTCAAGAAAATAGCACATTACTGGCGAGGAAATATTGAAGTGCGAGGCAGAGTCTGAGTACTTTAATTTTCGAGTCAAGCAATGTCATTTTACTGACGAGTTTTGTATTAAATTTTACACGAAATCGTATTTTAATATAAATTTCAATTTTCATATAGAATTTTTGATTAACGTCAATCTGTCAGTGTTGACAGGAGTCATTTAGCAATGTGACAGGTGCAGCCGGTAAAGTGACAGGCGGCAGGAAAAGTAGTCTGGGCTGCCTCTGTCGTGGAAACTAAAATTTCCTTACATAAAGTAGGCAGGAAAATTAAGGTTTCATAACGATTTGGGGTAAAAGATGATACATTCCCAATTTACTGTACAAGAAAACCAGCCGTCGTGAATGGCAGTATGAAGCAGACACAAAAGTGAAGTAAACGACACCTGAAGAGAGGTGGAAGATGGTGGCATAGATCCAGAAATACGAACGAAAAAATTTAATGTTGGTAATAAAATTTTCGTGCCTGTCTTTCCCAAAAAAATATAAATAATTTGAATAATAACATCCCAAATAATGATGGATCCACCAATACAATTAATTTCGGTAACTTTGCTGCTTTGTAGTTGCGAAAAATGAGAGTGTCAAATTACGATCCTCAAAGAGGAATTAACCCTTTTGCTTGTTTTACGTAAACTCAAACCCAACCGTGGTTTTTCCTCAAGGTTGTATATCCTTTGACCTATCGTTTGAGTTTGAGAATACTAAAAGACACTGAGGGACAATTTTCGATGATATAGCATAACAAAACAATGCAAATAATAAAAATGTATTACATTAGACTGCGGTTACAAATTTGGTACGGATACAGCTGCAGGTTAAATTAAGAAAACAGTCGGTGACCAAAAAGTGTCCATCAGAGTTAGTGGTTGTTCGACGACGACCGATCTCAGTGCCGGCTGTTCAATAAATATGGTATCGGGGTTTGGTGCTGGAGCGGCAAACGCCAAAGCGAAGAGTGCGAAGAGTGCCAACTGAAAGTCACAAGTTTACTAAATGCCGATTTCGATGGTAACAAGGACTTACCAGTTTGAAGTACATCTTGGACGTGTGGTTTGTGAAGTTGAACGGAAAAGTCAGTTTATATACCTGTTCAAACAATATTAACGTGGGATAACGTAATGGTGTGACCCTATTTAATATCAATTAAGATTGTAAATAATCGTAGATATTCTTCAGTTGATTATTGGGTATTTTCATTCAATCAGTTATCAGTTAACATTTTCGTTAATCGTTTTACGTAGGTATTTGGACAACTCCTATGCACAATTGCAATAAGTCAATGAGCAATTGATAATTTTGTCCAACCCTTCTCATTTTCGCATCAACCCTTAAGAAAGGGTATTGTTTCTTCATCGATCTATAACGATATTGAGAAGGTTTCCAACCCCTTTTCGTTCTTACAACCATTTAAACGGCTAAAGGTACAACTAATCTTGTAAGGAGTGCCTTAATGTAATGCTATTGGGCGAGACGAGTTATTTATGTTACCAAGTTAGCTGCGAAAAGGCCCTTTAACACAACCCTATTTCAACGTTTTTCTCAAGATGTAACGAGGGGTCGTTTTTATATTCCCGCAATGGGCTGTTTTGAATTTTGGTGCAACTTTTCTTTATGCTGTTTTTAATCGTACCGGGCTATTATAAAATTCCTTACAAAACAAGGAAAACTTCCAAAAATTATTCTTGAAGAAATGTTGGCTGTATACGGGGATGATTCTAAGTCAACTATTTGCGAGTGATCAAAATTGTTTAACCATGGTGGAGGATCAATGGATGATGATTCCCGTCTAGGGCGCCCTACTGACGAGATCGCTTCAAATGTTGCTGAAAAGACCAGGCGCTGTTTGGTACTGGAGGATGCAAGGCAATTAGCAACTTCATCACGAGTTTCAGAAACGACGGTTTTCGGAATTGTACACGAGGATAGTGCAAGATGGATTCCGCGAATGGTTTCGCCATTCCAAATGCGTCTCCGCGTGGAGATGAACCAGATCTAATTATCGTCGACTTGTCACTGGAGATAAAACCTGGGTTCATCAATATGATTGTGAGTCGAAACAAGAGTCGATGCCCAGTTCTCTCAAGAAGTTTAAAGTCGCCCCTTCTGCAGAAAAAATAATGGCAACCATTTTTTGGGACTCTTTGGGAATTTTACTAATTGATTATATGAATAAGGGTAGTACGGTAACGGGAGCGCATTACGCACCCATAACCATATATTTTTATCCTGGATTAAAGATGTCTTTCATGCCTAGTCCCGGAATATAAAAACGACCCCTCGTATGCCATCGAATTCATTCTCAAAATGTTAAGCGATTGAAAACTAGGAGATTGCACTATAAAATCTTAGGGAATCTTGCAAGTTTCATAGCAAAGTGTAGGTAACATAAAAAAGTATGCAGAGCACCGTTGCAGAAGGGATGTCTTGAGAAATGCAGTAAGGCCCCCTCAGTCCATATTCGAAAGTCAGAATAAAACTCATGACTAATAATATGACTTAATGTTCATTAAATAGGCAATTACGTTATCCCACTGCTGTTATCAAACCTTCAGCGAGTATATAAACCGGTCGCCGTAGAAGCCTAAGCATACAAAGTCGCTGTACTCTCCAAGATGTTCTTCAAACTGGTAAGTTTGTAACTGATGGTTTTTTAGTCATAAATATGTGATTTTTCAGTTTGTATTCGTCGCCATCTTTGCGGTTGTGTTTGCCGCTCCAGCTCCCAATCCCGAAACCATACTGATCGAGCAACCCGTCTTTAAATCGGTGGTCGTCGAACAACCGCTTACCTGGATGGATACGTTCTGGTCACCATCCGTTGTCCTGATTTAAGCTGTGCCAATGGCCATACCTAATTTGCAAGATCGCGCCGCTGTTAATTAATAATTTTGTAACGTTTTTATAATGTATGTTTCTTAATATTACTGCTTGATTAAACTGTTTAATACCTACCATAACTCTTAAGCAAAAGGGTGTCTTAATCCAGACTGTTCAATTTATTTTGAATTTAAGTATGAACGATAAGTTGGAAAATCGCTTAAAAGCGCTTTAAATGACCCCAACTTTCGTCTTTTAAAATAAAAGAAGCGGTTTCAGGCACCACTGTTACAAGCTGTGTTTTCATCACTGCTTTTGTAGCAGTTTCATTGAAATCCTGTTCTTCCCTCGATGCTGGGGTGATTAAAACCTTAAGGAAAACTCATAGTACAACTAACATTCTCATTGACATTTGGGTTGGTTGGCCCAAGTAAAACGATTTAATGGTATACAGGTTGTATCAAGTTAAATACATAGATTCTCCTTATTAGCATAGATAGACAGTTCGCAAAATGGACAAAAATGATCCACGAGTTATGCCTAAATAAAATGAAATTAGGTACTTGATGAAGTATTGCTTTTTTCAGACTAGTAATGAAAGGAGCAGCCTAGAACTTGACAGTTAAGTAATAGAGGCCGAGAATCATTCAAATTTAGTATCTAAAACCACGGTTATTAATTTAGAACGTAATAAAGTCACATGAAAAAAGGAGGAAGAAAATGATCGATGGGAAAAACTTTGGCCAAGCCCTCAGGAACACCATTATGTATTAATCAATCTCGTATAAAACAATCTTTGATAAGTGAGAACGTCATTCGACCGTAGGTGAAGGTATGATTATACCGGGTGCCCATTATGTATGGAATTTCGTATATATATATCGGTAAATATCGAATGTATACAACATTTTTCTATGAAAGTTGTTAAACATTTTATTTCTCATAATAAGGCAGCGTTCAGTTGTTTTTATTTCTGAAAACAAATGACTAACGAAAAACAATTGAATTTTTTTAAATGGCAGTGCACCTTTTCATTAGGCTCATTTGATAGTGATTTTTTTCTCTTTTCGATGATATAACTTGTTAGTACCCTTATTCAAAAACATGTTTCAAAAAAATTTATTATAATTTGATCAATAACATTAATCGAGATATCCTACATCAAAATAAAACAATTGAACGTGTACGTTTTTTATTAAACCTTAAAAATGGCTTTCATCGCAAAATGTTCACCATTAACTACCACAAAAGGCTTGAAGTAAAAATTTTTTCTACACGGATGCTAACGTGGTACGTCCTTAAAAAGAGAAAAAAAATCTCTGTCAAATGAGCCTAATGAAAGTGTGCATTGCTATTTAAACAAATTCAATTGTTTTTCGTTATTCATTTGTTTTCTGAAATAAAAACAATGGAATGCTGCCTTATTATGGGAAATAAAATGCTAAACAACTTTCATATTGAAAGTTTTGTATACAGTCAATATTTACCCAGATATTACTATATTCCATACATAATGGGCACCCTGTATACTTGAATGTTATTATGCATGGCACTTACATTATGTGTACTTACGTAGCATGTAATACAATGTTACTACAGTTATTCCCAAATGCATAACAAGGACAATTTAAAGTTGGTATCATTACAGAGAGGGATTTTGTTCATGATCAGACCTTGTTGAGAATCCAAAAATATTAATGAGTAAGAATAACCACGAAAGTGCTTCGTAGTCTTAAAATCGAGCTGAAACACTAGAACTACTAAGAGTAGACGAAAATAAACCCATAAAGAGCATTTAAAAAAGCGGCAGAGCACCTCGGTGCGACCCCACGGAGTCATTGGATTTGACCCATTTTCAATTGGCTTGTTACATGTGGTACTGTGCAAAGTTTGAACCAAATCGGTCCAAGCGTTTGACAGTTATCGTGTTCACGAACAGACGGACATACGGACACCATCAACTCCCCTATAAAGCATTCATCGCTTTGCTCTGCCGCTTAATAAATTATACCTATAGCGCGTTAGGGTTCGTGATGAAGAAGTTTTCAGGAATGAGAATGATTATGCGGTAATGAACTTCTGCATGTGAACGTCTCATGATTAATCTATAGCTTAATAAAGTGCAACAAATTAATTTATTTGTCTAATTTTTGGTCAGTTACTTCAGTTTTATGCCAGGTTTTCTGTCTAAATTTAGTCCTGCTGAAAACGTCAGAAACTTTTGTCCAATCTATTAGGACTGTAGAATCCATAATTTCCAACAGTTCCAAGATTGGGCTACTAGTTCAAAAGTTACAGCCATTTGAATTTTCTTTCAAAACTGATTTCTAGTCTATAACCTTTGATTGAGAGGTCCGATCGAAAAAGTACGAATTGTTTTGGATTCTACGCACGAAAATTAATAAGAAAAAGTGTTTTCCAGAGAAATTTTGGTGCAGTCGATTTTTGGTAAAAAAGGAAGGTTACAACCTGCCTTTTTTTGAGGCCCGAAGAAAAAATTGTCTCGGATCGACCCGGAAAAAAATTATCTCATAGAATGTGGCCTGTAGAATCCGTAATTTCAAACAGTTCCAAGATTGGGCTACTAGTTCAAAAGTTACAGCCATTTGAATTTTATATCGAAATTGGTTTCTTGTCTATAACTTTTGATTGAGAAGTCTGATCGAAAAAGTACGAATTGTTTTGGATTCTACGCACCAAAGTTAATAAGAAAAAGTGTTTTCCCGAGAAATTTTGGTGCAGTCGATTTTTGGTAAAAAAGGAAGGTAACTCTTTGAACTCTTGGTTGCTCTAGAAAGCTATAGATTTACCCGGGCAGTGTGAACGTAAAAGAGCAAGACATTATAGCAATCTTCATGCCGCTTTACCAGCGATAGGTCCTACGAAGCATGCCACATATTATTTCCAACATTCTTTCTATCCAGAACTTAGACTATTTACAGAACTTTCCAGGCCTTTGCCAAAGATATTTACGCCCTTTGTATAGAATGAAAGGCACTTAAGCTGGGATAAAGAGTCATCAGGTTTGTATTTAACACAGCTCTTAATGGCTTTGTTGTCTTAATCTCTGTTTCAGGCCCTATTCTGCGTTTTTAACCACTGGCTAAGCTTTTAAGGTGCTTTTATTTCATTTAGAAACCTTTTCAAAACAATCTAGGCTGCATTGAGAGCAACCTTGGCTTGGTTTTTCTAAATTCTAAAAACGTCTATGAATTTTTCTGAATGTGTGTGTGTGTACACCCAATTTTGTTCATGTTTGCCCCGAGAGGGGAGGTTTACAGGTGCGTGGAAAAGGATTATGAAAAAGGAAAACTCGTGTATTGGAAAGAGGGTGTTAAAACAATCAAGGTCCACGAGCACCGCTCCCGTTTCAATGTATATTTGATTTTTACAATGTAAGCAAGTGGTTTATTTTTTATACAGTTATCGATTATATTGATCATTAACTATGAAATTAAAAAAAACGTTGTCATCTTGTAGAATCTTTTCCCGTTACTATTTTTAAACTCCCTAATTGTCATTTTTAGTATACTACACCCTACATAAATGCAATCCACACTTATATTTAATGTAAATTTCCCCTCAAAATTTGTTACATTGGTAATGATGCCTTGCTTGACTTACTTATAAATCTACTACTAGAAATTGCAGAGGAAAATTAGACGTACACAATGCTAGGTACCATCATCGTATCCAACAAGACTGGGACACTTTCCATCACAACGGGACTATTATCGATGAGGATAAGGCCGGGATCTGCAACCGGTGCGGCGGCAACAAAAGCGGCGAGCACAAGAGAAATAAGCTAAAACGTAATTTTGGAAACTCTCATTGAAAACATTTTCACTTACCAATTTGAAGAACATCGTGATTTGGTAAGTTGAACGTGGTATAGCGTACGTATTGGAATTAAAGGTTTATATACCTACCGCAACGAGCCTATATCTAAATTGGATATGAATTAGCTGATGCAGTGGTCATTTGTCTAACGCATACAAAACAAACTGGAACGAATGGATTAGGTTAATTAGGTTTGATTGTATATTAATGAATGCTATCATGACAGTCTTCGGAAAGGTCCTAGTTTTCTGTAACAACCTGAGTGAATCCTTAGGATTTTATCAACATTTTAGCCAATCTTAGAATATGAATCACTAGAAGCGGTAAGGGAAGTGTATTTGTGGAGGGTCATTGAGGATAAACTCCGGCAAGGTAGGTTATAGTGCACCCATTTTGAATGGTTAGGCGTTATAATCACAAACAAAAATTTTTGAATCCAAAAAACATAGCCCTTTTATTCACAGTAAACGGTGAATGAGAACATTTCTAAGTAGCTTGGACAAGAAAAATCCACCAAAAGAAGAAAACAAGGGAATGATTATTTTAGATTTTGTTTAAGACTGTTTCAAAAAAACCTTTGTAGCATTTGCAACGAAAACTAGGAAACAGGTTTGCAAAAACCCACGCATATAACTTAGTAACTAGAAACATAACGAAAGCAGAGGAAAAGAACAACAATATTTTAGCAGCACATAATCTTAACGACAAAATAAAAATACATGGCGGAAAGTAGACACAGATCATAAATCTTTGATAACTCTAATGAATAGAAAAATTGGAGTTATCGCCTCATCGTGTTTGCAAAGAATGACAGTAAAATTACTTAAATATGAATTAGTGTTAAATTACTTGCCAGGAAAATATTTGTTTATTGCAGACTTACTTTCATGATCCTACTTAAATTTTCCAGAGAGAGATGGTGATGATCAATGGATTTTCTCAAACTGTTCATACTTTAAGCAAAAATTTAAATAAGTTTAGATGCTAAAGGGTTGGAGCTTATACAGGCTACTGTCAATGAACCAGTTTTGGCAAAGGTAATGTTCTACATTATAAGTGGCCTTATGAGAATTTAACTCTTCGAACTGGGGTGCTTGTGAAAATGTGTACCTTTTACGTATACGTAATGGTTGGCATAATTTTTCACTACTAAGTAAACCAACAACAAAGAACATAAAATGACATTACGATACAAAGTATTTATTTAAAAAATAAAAAAAGGAGAAAATATAGCCAGGGAGTTCAAGTGACAAAGAAGTAACAAGTTAAAAAGTAATCGTAAACGATTTACATAAAGCGCATTTCCACTTGCATTCATTTCCCATTTGTAAGATGCAACTTCTGTTAAAATCGTAAAAATCCGGCCACAAATATGAAAGATAGCGTTGCACATGGGCAATCCATTGTTGACGTGCTACTTCAATTTCAGTTTATGAGAAGAATTTCATTTCAATGCTTTTCTAAATAAGAAAGTTGGAACTGCGCATGCGCAAACCTAAATTTTAAAACTAATGTTAGATTTTCCTTTGTTCCAAGCGCCTAAGTATCAAATTTCACTTAAATGTTCCATTTAAATTCTTCCATAAATAAAAAAGTTGGCACTGCGCATGCGCAAAACCAAATTTTGAAATTGGCGTTTGATTTTCCTTTATTCCAAGTGCCTATGTATCAAATTTCATTCAAATACTTTTATAAGTAAAAAAGTTTGCAATTCGGTTTAAAAATGGTCGAGATGCGAAAAGGGCACTGTGAATTTTGAATCGATTCGATTCAACTTTTGGCATTGCGTATTATATGGCTAAAGCTATGCCCATATTGAATTTCATGCAATTCAGTTCATAACTAACGGAGATGTAAAAGCGATCGAACATTTCTAAACAAAGTTATCGTTCACACGGACAGATAGATGGACAGACAGACAAAGGACAGACCAACCGGCAGGCGACAGATAGCAATGCAAAATTATAAACGATCTCTAGGATCGTTAATAAACGGCAAAAGTGTAAAATTATGGAACATGTAAAAAACGGTTTTTTGTTTTTTTTACAATAACTTTTTTTGTAAGCGGTACAGAAAAAATTCCTTCCTTGGTACAAGACTCGACACCATAACGAACCAAATAGCGAAAAAAGTAGAAAAGTAGAACAGTAGCTCTTAAGATAAAGAACTAGTAGCGTCGCAAAACGAGCGGACGGACGGACGGACAAAGTGGCCACAATAGCGCATTTTTTTTATTTTTGTGGAAATGCGCTAAAAACGGAAACGGACACAAAATTTTGAGGGCGAAGGAGTCTGGAGTGGAAAATGGGGTGTAGCGAATGATGAAGTTTCCTAGAACGTTAGAAAAGCAATGTTTACAAAAATGTTTAAATTTGGAACAACGGAAAAGTTCCGAATAACTAAAAAGTTAGAAACAGAAAAAAAGGGTACGTCAATGCAAAGCTTTTAATAGAAACAAAGACTACAGGTTGCATCATTTAGCTGTGAGCAACATAACAAATGAGAGAGAGATATGGTAATTAGTCAAAGATAAAATTAATTGTAAACTAATTAGTGATAAACGGGTCAGTTTTAATTCAAATAACATGTAGAAGATAGCGGCGTATGTTTCCCAAATTAATTAATTCTATGTAGATAATCGAGAGGTAGTTAAGTGGGTAAGTTCTTACGCGAAGGCCAGATATAACGTGCGGTGGATAAGCGAACAAACGTCAAATCGAATTATGGCGCTCTACAAATCAATTGGGTTCATTTTATCCATTAAATTGCAAATGGTTCTAATGGTCTCGTTTTTTCTCGCATATGCGTTTCCGGAACCAAGCTCAAAACTGATGGTGCTCAACGAGTTGTATTCGGCTGTGGTGGAAAGCAAGCCTCTAACAGTGCGTAATAAGGATGCAGTGTTTAAAATAGGAACAGTTTAATAGTTTTCTTAGTTTAAGTAGACGAGGAAGTGGTTTGCTCACATATTTTAAAATGAATGGACGCCAATTTTAGTGTAAAACAAGTCATTTCATAGAATAGACTCCAATAATATAATAATAATGACGTTTGCCAACCCAGACAGACCAAATAAATCATAGAGCATATCGAAGTCAACCTTTCTACGGCGAAAAGGGAGTCGAAGTAGTGTTCGACACGGTAGTATCGGTAAAGTCTGTAGTATCCGTGGTATCTGTACCATCAGCGCTTGAATATGCATCTGTATCGATGGTACTACTTAATTTACGATAGTACTGGAATAATGTTAAACGAAATACCATACAATTGTGATCTGAAACAACGATTTGTCATTAATGGAAGGAAGTATTGGAATTTTACATGCCACACTATCCATGACGGTGGATCTGAATCTTTCGCCCACTAGTAACGAATGAATCAGTTTCAATGTACTTTCCAGTGAAAACGTGGTGTATCATCTCATTAAATGTGCTGCGTGACTTTTTCCGTTTAAAGAAAAGTGTTTGTTTTTCTTTTAAGAACTGATTAAATCAGAAGCAATATTGTTTTTATCCTATGTACCGTGTGTTCCACAAAAGATTTTTTTAGATTAGCAAATTCCCAAAATATTCAACAAACTAAAAAACTTTTTAAACATTTTTACTTAAAAATCGATAAACAACCAATTAATTAACAACAGGGTTGCACCCTTTCGACACCCGCGATGCATAAAGAAAAGTTTGAGAACCGTACGCTCCTAACGTGGACCAATTCCGAATAGAGCTCCGTCGCCTGGAAGTCGACAAATACACAGGGTGTTTAAAAATAGGTCGGACATTTTATCTGCGTATAATAGTATTCATGAAAAGAAACAGAAAGTGTATAAATCCGCATAAGTGTTTCAGAGATAGATTTTTGTTTCAACGAATAAGAGCTTTCCTTTCAAGCAAGATGTGCAGTATGTGTGCAAATGGACACAGAGCATCTTCTCTAAGTATTTTACGTTATATTGAGAAACAACACTGTTCCTTTGGTTTCAATTAATGTAATTTGTTGAAGACAATACAAAATCTATTCTGCAACACTTAATTTGCGCACCTTTGTTTTGTAAGACAATTTTTCTTCCACTATACGCGGATAAAATATCAAACTTTCTTAAACACCCAGATTTGTCAATACTACAACGTCGTTTGGGATTCAAAATTTTTGCATAGCTCATCCTCCTTCTCCTTCGAAGTCGAATTAATATTAATGAATTTTCTCGCGTGTATAATCGAAAGTAGTAAGTACACTAGAAATTGACATTTTCCTCGTAGGTTTCGAGTTTAAAAAATGACTTACTCCTTTTGGTTTAAACTTAAGTAGGCGGGGTTTCAACCAAGGCTGCTCAGTGCTCATGTCCCAACCCAAACTCGAACCAGGGACCCTTAGTACTGCACTCGAGCTTTAACTTCACGGCGCCATACGGCTCGCTTAAGAGATACGAGGAAAAATCAAAAAAATGTCGATTCAAGAATAACTAACATTTTCTTAGTTAAAAGAGACAAAGAAAAATGTTTATTACAAAAGTTTCTTTCAAAATGAGCGTACGAGGTCAGTTAAAAAAGTTGAAAGACCTAACTTCAGTTTTTAAATGGAGGCCCTGTATATTTTAGGCTCAAAAGGTAGCATATTAAATTCTTTTTCCAAAAATATTAAAATAATTAAAAAAAATTAATATGATCCAAAAAGGCTACAAAAAGGTTTATTAAAATTCAAAAGTTTTAAATCATTTTCTTAATTTTTTTAATCGTTCTTGAATTCTTTTCAATCACTTGAATCTTTCTTCAAAATATTTCTTGTGTTCTTTGTATTATTGGATTGCAGAGTGTCCCATTAAAATATATGGAGTTAGGTCCGATAACTTTTTTACCTGACCTCGTATGCTTATTGCGGAAACGGAAGATTATTTAACAATAATTATAAAGCAACTTTTGTAAGAAAATATATAGGTACCTATTATAATTCTGAAATTGACAATTTTTACAAACCGTACGTTAGTAAGGGAGGTATTGCATTGGGGTAAAAAATGATCCTCCACTTTTACACGTTCCGAAAGCGAATCAAACAAAATCTCGATGATGTCGGTCTGTCTGCAGGTCTGTCTGTCTGTACTCTCGCTTTTTGCAATAGGTGGACTATATTTTGAGGGTGTGCCAGACGGCCACCAAATTGGTCTCAGATTCTTCATTGGTGATGTCAAAACGTTAAACGCAAAAATATCTCGAAAACGGTTTGTTGGGGGGAGAGTACAAAGCACAAAGGCAAAATGAATTGAAAAGCGAATATCTTGAAAACGAAGAGGGTAGTCATAAAGGGCAACTGGAACGTCTGGACGATACACATCTACTGGTGACGTAAAAACTTTTAGTGCCAATATCGGCAGAAGTGTCGGAGGAGGGTACTCACAAAGGGCGGAAAAATGAATGATATGAAAACATCGATAAATATAGCATGCTACTACTTTATAACCCAACTATTTACTAAGCCATTTCGGTTTAAAAAAATGCGCTTTATCTGCACATTTTATTATTTTAAGTTTGACCTAAAAAGAGCACATGATGCCTATATTACATTTTTGATATTGATGTACACAAATATTAATGAATCAGTATGAAATCATAGAAAGATTCTCTTGCAGTGAATGAAAAAGAATACAGAGCCCCCCCCCTCCCGCAAAACTCAAGTTGTTCCGGCCAACCATAAAAATCACGGAAATTATCGCTTTCCGCTGGCGAGAGAATGTTGGAATTATAAAATCAAATGATGTTCCACAACCACAAAATCTTAACGCTGCAGTTTTGAAGCACTGCAAGAATCCAAAACTCAAAAAAACGATGAAGAAGATTTAAATCAAATGCCCTTTTTTCCACGACAATCTTCTGGTATGCAACAATTTAAATACCTTGGACTTACCGAAAATTGAGATGTGACTGTCTAATAAATTAATAGATTTTTATGTTAAAATTCGGAGAGAAATTGTTTTTGGCTTCAAAAAATCACCAATCAACCATAATAAATCTTTAACAAAAGATAAGTGTTTCGGTAGCAAAGCTGCAATCGTCAGCGAACAACTAGAAGACATTTCAATATAATTATTCAGATTTTTTTAAATTCAACATTTAAAAAAAATAACACATTAAGGACGACATTCGAAAGAGATTTAAGTGATTCAAAAAAATTAAATATGATTAACAAAAATTAAAAAAGTTGAGAAATTCAAAAAGGATTCAAAAATACAACAAATTTCAAGACAAATCCGTTTGCAATATTTTTGAACCCATATTCAGTTTTTTTGAATTTTTTATTGCTATATTTTTTAAAAGAGAATTTAATACTGTTTATAATAAATTATACAATGTTTTTGATATAAAAACATGAGGTTAGGTCCGATAACTTTTACCTTTTACCTGACCACGTATACGTATTTTGAGAACGGAAAATTATTCAACAATCAGTATAAAGACACTTTTGTAATAAACATTTTGCTGTATCTTTTAACTAAGTAAATATGGGGCCATTATGTACATATTTATAGAAAATCCCGAAACAGATCACGTTTAAATTATTATCAATCTCAACCTTCAACCCCCTTCGAGTGACAGTTAGAACTTGAATTTTTAAATGGGAAGTAGGGGACATGTGATATATCGTTTGAAAAGTCTCTTCATTCTCTATCCAAACATGTTACTGTTTCCAAATTGATTGCAAATGTTAACATAAAAAAAAATCATTATGCAATACATTACAATGGGGTTTTTGTCCTCATTCCAAATGGACCCTACTTTTTATATTGCAAAAATTGGAAAAAAAGGAATTCCCATAAAACATAATTTATTCCTCACTACCTCAGCTTCAACGTGGTTATAACAAAGTCCATACGTCACTATACACTTCTTTATGTGGCTTCTGGTATCGTTTCTGATATTTAAAAATTAATGTCACACGTATATTAATTTTTTGCATGTGCAATTGCATATTTTCGAATAATTAAAAGAACTCAAACAGTTAAAAGAAATCAGAAAAATTAGATGAATTGAAAAAATCATAAGAATTTGAATAATATGAAAAACTGGAAGAATCTGAAGAACCTGAACAATTATAACAATCGAAATAGTTGGGTGAAACGAGCATCCATAGGATCAGAGTTTTGAAAATCAAAAGAATTCCAAGATTATTAAATACCTGAAGTCGTATCGGTTGTTGTTTCGATGGTTGATTCAGTTGTACTGGTAGTTGTACTCTGTCTTTATTGTGATGGTGCGCTAAAGTAACAACCAGGAAAGAAACTAGAATAAACTGAAAGATAACACAATTAAAGAAGTGAATTTTGCTTTGATAAGTATGCATTAAGGTATTCATGGTTGCTTTATTCAAGGTAGGCAACGTAAATATAATTTTTTTTAAACACTAACACACCAATTAAATGTAGCAGAAAGATATTCATATCCGACTAATATGATTCGTGCTTTTGGTGATCTTCCATTAACCACGTCCATTGTTACCAAGTAAAGGGTGATTAGCGGTAAGCATTTGTGTTCAACAAAGGAGGCAACCCTGGTTTTTCGCGTTTTAGGCATACTTCTTTCCATAAGTTTACCTAGACCAACGTTGTAGCAAATGCAGTACAAAGAACGAATTCTATCAGGATGTTCTGAATTTGCTCATTTAAGCTACCGATTAACAACAGAACTCGAAAAGACAGATATACGCACAGAAAGTGGGATGTTATTAATAATCTTTCCAGCCCCCACAATGTAAGACAAAATGTTAACTAAAGCAAGGGATCGAGGTGTATTTTTTTACAAATAGCTTTCCAAATTGGCCGGCTAATTGATTTTATGCACAAATTCGGTATCAAAGGTATCCAATTGTGTTAAAAAAGACAGAGTCTAGACTGCCTTTTTTAAAAATGCTTCTCACAGTCGAACCGATTCGCAAGTTAATAGAAGGAGGAGATCAAACGAACAATTATCAATAATGAGAGTGAATTCAACCTACAGCCGATTGAAAGTTAGTTACTGTCCTAATGAAACATATTACACCCCTTCCATTTATGATTTATTAACTACAGTTGTTAGCGTAATTCAACACAAAAATTTACAGGTAATATCCCGCGCCGTAGAGAGCACTGCCATAGTATCCCCCGTAGTACGGGTAGGCAAGATGGTTATATCCCAAAGAGTATGGATAAGCACCATACGCGCTGAGAATTTGCGGCTTGGGTTCCGGCGCTGGGGCCGCCATGCTTGCAGCGAAGACGAGGGCGAATAAGAACAACTGAAACAAATTTTCTTAAAAATCTGCACTCGGGGGTAAAATTGAACACTTACCAATTTGAACATTTTGTCGGTTTGCTACGAGAGTAAACTATGCCAATTGCTCTAATCTGAGTCGCTTTTATACCCGACTGGTTTGCGCCTACCTTAAATTATTGCGTACGTATCCTTCACGATGGATCCGGGACAAATTAAAATATCTAATTTGTCAAATCAACATCACTTCCTGTTCAATAATCAATGATAAGGCGATGCTATATTTGGGAACGTGACATAGCTAATCAATTATAGTCATCTCGTTCAAGCCTACCGTCAGAAGTATCCGCGCAAATATTAATAATCGTGTTACGACTTACGACTACTAATTCATCAACATTAATTATGCAAATGTGACAAATTCGGCAAATTATTAAAATATTAATATATGAATCCGTATCTTATGAACCTTGAACACTTCGGAGGTCTAATTCTATGTAAAATAAACATTGAATTTTACGGATTTGTGAAGTGAGTCGCTCATAGCCAATACACATTTATACGAGGATTTGTACAATTTTACATCAGCAAGTGAATTCACACCCGAAAATACCAAGCATTTAAGACTGCATTGCTTATGCATGGTTTGTGTCATAATGTTTGTTCACAGACAAGCAGGGCTCAAATGTAAAGTCTTTCCATTTAAATTTGGAGTGGAGGTCGAATGATACCTTAGTTGAAACGAAACTGGATAGCTATATCATATATGATGCAGTAGATACTTATTAATAGTAAATTGCTGATTTAAACCACACAAAGGATTACATTTGAAGTAATTACAAGGGCACTTTTATCCATAGTGAAAGTTTTCGATTTTTTCCGATTATAATTTTCATTTTTTTTAAGTTTGGATATGGAGACTTAGCTTAGGTCTAAGTTCTTTTATTTTATAGCATTGTCCTCATTATGAACCATTTATCCTAAGAAGTAGAAGTTTGAATTATCAAAAATGTATGCCAACAATACGTTTTCTTGGTAAACCATGACACCACTACAGAAACTCATCCTTTTTCCTAAATTTTTCTGGATTTTATTGGAAACCAATTCAGTGATTCGATCATTTTCAGTTTGTTTAATTGTATGCGATACCATATAAAGACTGTAGGAGCTCTTTTATAATAAATTACCGGAGAATACCTCGCTTGTGAATTTTTTACCGCATTTTTTAAAAAAATACGCAGGCTGTTCCGTTGAGAGCAATATTAAAACAGCTATAGACGAGATTTCACTTTCTGCTATAGTGAAGATGTGGAGGCTCTAGTCTATTTTGAGTTATGTTACTCGCGAAATCGATCATTTTAAACTGCTTTTATTGCAACTACATCAGAGAAAGTGCAAAGCATATTGCATATAGGTACCACGGAACTGAGTAAATTATAAAAATTATAAAAAGTAAAACATGATTACGTTCAGCGGCCATAGTATACAAACTTCGGGTAAATATAACGATAAAGAGAACCTACGAAACCGGAAGAAAATTGCACTGATCTTAATCTTATTAATTATACTAGTAAAATTAAAGCATTAGAGGAAACAACCCAATGGAATGGGACGCATAATAAGAAAATAAAGCATTAGTAAATTGGCTTATAAATAGTGTAACAAGGGTTACATTTGAGGGTGGACAAACCTATAAACGTTTTATTTAAATTTTGAATGTTTACGATAGTGTGAAATTTTTTTTCAAAATTTATCCACGCCCCACCTTATTAAAAATTAGCTTGTTCCAATTCCTTCAGCAAAATGGACTTATTTACTTTTTAACTGAAAACTCCACGATGAAAAATAAATATGTCAAATGAAAATATTGAAATTATCAATTAATATCCGCCTTTCTCTACGTCTACAGCCTGCGAGCAAATCAATTTTTGGCTTGTTGATACGTCCAGTATCCCGACGTGGTCATGTCCTATTTTAGTAATGTAAATATTCTCTTAAATAAACAATGGAAAATTATTATAGATTGCCTGCTTGTAATCCTATACTGTATTCATTTTAAGAAGGTAGGGTAGAAAGCATAGGGAAGCTTTGACCTTCACTGTGATTGGTTAAAACATGAGTCAGTATTACAATGAAACATAAAACGACTGGTGAATTTTGTAAGGTGGTAGTTTATGTTGCCAATTAAACTGCGAAATGTCATTAGCTGTTATTGTCAAAGGTTTATTTCTGTTCGCAGTGCTGAATATTTCTACTTTACAATAATTTGGTGCCGTTTTATATTTTTCCGGTGTGTGTTTATCTTCAAACACAGCGCCATCTACTACCTTCTTATAATGAATGCAGTATAGTTACTTTTCACATGACTGCCTGTATGGATATTATTCCTGGGATACATTCTTTGATCTTTATATTCCTCGAATAATGCCTCCGACCTTGCAAGCAGCGTACAGAATTCGCGTTTATGTTTGATCATGAGCAACATTAGTTCAGGCAAGAACTCTACCGCTTAGTTTAGACAATAACCATGATCGACTTGAGTTTAGACAACAACCACGATGACCTTTAGTGGCATTAGTTCATGCACGAACCCTAACCATTTTGGACAACAACCACGATGACCTTAAATGATATTAGTTCAGGCAAGAACCCTAGTTTTTTTGGACAACAACCATGACGACCTTTCAGTGACATTAGTTTAGACAACAACCCAACAATCATGATGACCTCCTGTCACTTGGTGCATGCGCAGTAGTTCAAATGACCTTTGGAGTTGGCGCATGCGCGCAACTCAAGGTCGAAGTGCGCGCATATCTGTATTTTAATAACTTTGACGTGATGCCTCACAGTGAATTGAAAATTCCTCGGTTTCCAATTTGCTAACTCTTCAAACCCCTTTGAAAAAATTGTACAGTCTTGTCAATAACAGGACGTAACTAAGCTGTACGCCTGTATTCAAGCTACTTCGCATGAACTTGAGCTAATTTTACTTATGCAGCCCCACACAGTTTTCAGTAAATTTTCATACCGCATAATGCAACCCTTCGACTAACACAAACAAAGTGCGCTTAATTCATTTTGAAATTATTCAAAACTCCAATATCGAATAAAACCACTCTGCTTAATCCCCAGCTTCCATAACGAAATAAAATTCCAACCCCATCAAAAAACTCCTGTTACAATAGGAATATTCAATTTGGCGTTACAATTTTGTGCTAAGATCGACTGATTCCGATTGCCGTCCATTTGGGGACAAAACACGTGGAAAGTGTCGAAAAAGTGGGCTAGATTGGAAATGATGACACATAGGCCCCCAGATTAAAAAACAACTTTAAGAACATTCAGTAAGAATTGTGTATTGCAAAGGTGAAAACTTTATACATTTGCCTATGTAACACAGAATATACGTTGTGTCCGAGATAAGAAGAGAGATAGAAATTTTGTTAAATGGGGAAAAGTTCCGCAATCAAAAGTCTAAGAAGCGTGTAGAGATCCCTGAAACATTTTTTTTGCTCTTGATGTTCTGAAATAATCGGATTTTTCGATTTTATGAAGTACCTATTTTTTCTGGGGTTAATATTTGACCTAGAGAAAACCCACTTTACCATAGCAACTTTTTTTCTCTTTAAGGTGGCGTTGTTTGTTTTTAAATCCGACGTTTCGTCTGTGCGGAACCATCATCAACTACGGCCCTAATTTTTCGATATCATATTCATAATTCTATTTTTATTCTGAATTCAAAGATGTATAGCGTTTTATGGTTTAATTGCGGCTAAACTTTTCTTTCGGGTGGTTTCGTTAAGAAAATTCGTATTACGGATCCGTAAAAGGATTCATTTAAAATAAATAATCAGCACAATTTACTGTTCATATCATCTACGTATTTAGTAGCGATCCGATAAGTGAATAGAATTAAAATCAAATTAAATTAACAGAAGATATACGAATTAAAAATATAGCAACGAATTTGAATTTGAATAAAACATTATACCTTCGAACCGTCGATTCTAACACCGTACTCAGCATTTGTGAAGTAATGTTAGTAAATGCTCCAAGAACTAACCTGCTGACTTATGTTAAAAATTTTCCTGGTAAACAAGATTCTTAATGAACCCCATACGAAGAAACCAAGCGTGGTTATATCTGGTGAACGACAGGGTGTTCCCAAATGTTACGTTAATTAATTTTTCTGTATATCTCATTGAAAGATATTCCCGAGAATATAATTATGTGCGGGTGCACCATTGTGATGTATCTAAACCCTTTTGCAGTACCTAAATGTAAGTAGAGCTCTGATGTTAAAGTATGGTGGGAAATACTACAATCCTTGTATTGAAAATACCAACTCATATAACAAAAGCAAAACGGTGTTGATGCCTCGACGATCTGTTTAAAGGGCGGATTGATTTCTGATCAATAGTGGACATTTTTCGTCTATTGAAAATGTCATTATTCACCTGTCCTTGAAAAATTCGGTATTTGTACGGATGCATTTTTGTTTTTGTAAAATACAACGTGTTATTTAATCATTCAGAATTAAAGGGCTTTAAAAATATGATATTGGAATATCAAAGTCGTATATAAAAAATAAAGTTGATGATGGATTCGCAAAGACGAAACGTCGGATTAAAACTAACAACTCCACCTTAAAGAACATTTGCTGTGGAGAAGTGTCAGGAGTTTTGTTCTAGGTCAAATATTAACGCCAGTTCGTAACATCGAAAAATCCGGTTTTTTCAAAACATTTCAAAAACCAAAAAATTTTTTAAGGGTTTTTCTCCCATTTACCAAATTTGTATTTATCTACCGTTTCTAGAATGCCTATAGCCTATAGTGGTCTTCCTCTGACACAGGATATTCTAGAAAATTGATAAGCAAATTGTGAAATGTGTTTAGTAACCTTCAATATTGCTTTATTTTAAATAATTAAAATTGAAGAAAAAATTAGCCTGTGTAATTTAATTAAGATTGTACTTTGCACACGCTGTTCGGTTGTTCCAAATTAATCCATCGTAATTATTTTAGCAAAAAAAAAATTGAGCAAGTTACAAATTAGTACCTATAGGTATAGGTATATAACAAACTTTTTGTTGAATTTATACTACCATCGCATGGCAATTGGCAGCATAACTCGTTTATTCTGGGCCTTTTCTTCTGACCACAATCCAATTAAAAGTAATTTTTGGAAATTCTAAAACTTATTTGTATTAATGGAAATAAAGAAACTTATTTACTTATTTATTATGCACAGGGTAAGCTTTTTTCAATTTTAGGTAGATATGTCATATGTGTGAGGGTCAAGGAACCTAGCAGATATAATGAAAACGATTATAACTGAGAAAACAATTCTGTTTTATCTTTGAAGGGTTTTATTTTCATTTTCCAACGGTTCAGGTATGAGGAAATGGAAGTAATTGCAAAAGAATGATCATCTACCGATATTGACGTTTTGATTTAACAGTTCTATCACGCGAGATTCCATTGGACAAGTGTAAAACTTGCCACTAATCGTTTTTTCCAAATTATTTCCCGTAAAGCTAGAATGAAAATACAATACAATGCAAAAATGCAAATACAAAATAGGAGCTTGTGCGAATATGGTCAAACAGGACCTGTAATTAATTAATTTTATAAACAATGCTAATTTTCTATTGTTTATGTATCGAAGGCAAACGGGTGTGTATATCATTTGGGCGAGATGGTATAAAATACGACCGAATTAGATCGACTGGCATAGTTTACTTTGAAAGCAAACGAAACCAGCCAAAATGTTCAAATACGTAAGTACCTCAATTGCATTTTGTTACTTAATTTTAATTTGTTAATCTGTTTAGTTATTATTGTTCGTCGCCCTCTTCGCCGTCAGCATGGCCGCTCCTCAGCCCGAGGCAGAAGCGAAACCCCAATTTTATGGTGCCTATCCATACTCATTGGGATACAGCGCATACAGCGGCTACGCTGGTTACCCTTATGGAGCTTATGGTGCTTACCCATATGGAAGATACATCTACTAAAATTGACGAGTAAATTTCACAATTGTTTGACACGTTTTGTACAATATCAGCTTACCCAATAAATATTTCCTATATTTTTGAATAAATGTTCTTGAAATGATTGTCAAAGTTTAATATCGAATTGAACCACCTCAACAAAAATATCATAAAATGTCCACCTCATTTCCAATCGAAAATATTAATATTACAGAAGAGACAAGAAATGTTCCTAGGGCGAATTTACCTAAAGAACAAAGTTTCTTTGTTGGAATATATACAGCGACCAAGCTAATTATACCGTGTCAAAAAGTGTCAAAAATTCTCAGTTTTCGAGGTCGATGTCTTCTGAGAACTGTGCTTTGTTTCGTTATTTTGTGCAGATGCAAGGAATAGTTGAAGCACTGTGTACACGGTGAGTCAACATTGCGCGGAGTAACTTAATGCCTTGAAGATAAGATTTTTCGGTAGAGTGCTTTTGTATTATGATATGGTTGAATATTCTCCACATTTTAAAAATATTTAGAATTATATAGGGTGCGCCCACAAAGTAGGGCGTAAAAATGGTACATTTTTAGCTTCCTAGCACATGTGCTAGGTAGCTATTGCGATAGCCGTTTTTTGAACATTTCAAAATTTCATCAAATGTCGACGTTTTAGACCATTTTAAGCAACTTTTAAAGAATAAATTTTTTTTCCGTCTGTATGTACGTACGTACGTTTGTTGGCAATTTTCTGAGAAAACGGCTCGACGGATTTTGTTGAAATTTTGTATATATGTTTTAGGCATACCGAACAGAAAAATAACGGGCCGGATTTTTGAAAAAAATTTTGGAGCGCCGTAACGGCATCGAACTTTTTTTTTCAAATAGCAACCTAAAATTTTTATTCTATTATTTGGAAGACCTTATTTTCCTGTGTACAACCTACAAAAAATTGGGCCGGGTTATATTATCAAAAAACGGAGAAAAAAATTGTCAAAGTCAAAAAATTGTGTTGCATATGTGCAAAACGCAACGATCTTGTTTCTGAAGCAATTTAAACGAAATTTCTATGGTAAGTCCCTTTAATAAAAGCAAACAAAATTCATGCGCAAAAATCGTGTTGCGCATGCGCAGAAATGCAATTTTCTTATTTATGGAACAATTAAAACGAAATTTGGATGGTAGGTCCTCCTAATAAAAGAAAACAAAATGCATGCGCAAAGGTTTCAGCTAGGAAGCTATTCTGTCAAGAATTTGACACCTGGTTTTAAATAGAACCCCCTGTATTTGAATGCATTTTTGACGTACAATTACACGTAAAATTCAAAAATGCATTTAAATACAGGGAGTTCTGTTTAAAAAAATGTACGATTTGGGCGCCCTACTTTGTGGGCGCACCCTGTATAATTCCAAATATTCTTAAAATGTGGAGAATATTCAACCATATCATAATACAAAAGCACTCTATCGAAAAATCTGATCTTCAAGGCATTAAGTTACTCCGCGCAATCGTTGACTCACCCTGTACAAGGTGTATATGATCGTTAAAATATGGTTTGCCTTCCTCCTTTATTTCGTAACAATTAAACAAATTGGTCTTTGACTGATAAATCCTCATTAGTGGAATTGGAATCATTCTGTAGTTTGACCGTGAACAAATTGCAAAGGAATTGAGTTAGTCCCTTGACTATTGTCTTACCTATTACCGAAAACAGAATTGGAAAATTCGAAACCGTTCGCGGGTTATTATTACACAGAGGGCCGGACCGACGAACGGACGGACGGATAGAAGGTTCCCAAAATCATGAACTCGCTTTTCGTTGCTCGTTAATAAGCTTCAAAACACATAAGAAATTTTATAAATCTCGTGTAACGAACACATTCTCTCACTGTTAAAAAAAGTTTCGCTGCAGAATTTAAATCACCCTGTATTTTACAACATAGTTACATAGTTTACAACAATAATTGACTAATTTATTAAGGTTAATTTAATGTACGAAAGAATTACAGTAATTATGATTACCGTATGCCCCAATGCCGACCAACAGACAACAATTCTTATGGGGCAGGGGGAATGTCTGTCTTTAGGGGTAGTATTTTCCGATACTTATAAGTGGTTCATGCTCATTTTTGAATTTAAATATTAACTTTTGCACCGACAATAAAAGAAAAGCTTTTATAAAAATTGCCCTTACTTAGATCACCCTTAAGATGTTTCGTTTTAATTTCTATTTCAATACGTTCTATCAATATAGGTTTCAAATGGCATTTAACAAAATTATTAAAGGTGAAAAAGTTACATTTGCACCATCGTATATGCTCTTGTAAAGGAAGAGAATTAGAAAATCATATGTTGTGCATAAAAGCACAGCTTCACTCTCATTTGGGATAGAAAAAAATCGCCGATCAAAATAAATAAATTTATAGCTTGTCATATTTTAATAAAATTAACATATCATCTGACTGGCGACCTTCTATTGCATTTGGCCACCTTGCCTATTTATAACTGTCACTTAAATATTTCTCTCCGTATAAAAAAACATCCGCCAACTTCCCAATGGAGCAAATAAACCACGCACTCCGCGGTGATATAACAGCAACCAAACGGAAGAAACGTGTTGGTTTTCCAATAACAAAAGCTGTTTTTATATTATGTTAATATTTATTGTTTATGGGTAGTAGTGTCCACTAGTAACATTTCTATTAATGTCAAAGCTAAAAATTGTAAATATTAATATTTCATAATCGTCCTTTTCGATTGCAAATGAGGTGGACATTTTAAGATATTTTTGTTGAGGTGGGTCAATTTAAAAACACTTGCCTAGGGCTATACTCGGAGCTATCGTAGTGTATCGAATTTCAAGTGAAGTTTGACAATTTAAAGATGCATCATGCACTGTGATAGTACCAAAGTGGATGCAACGCTGCACACTTCTATGACCATCTAAGCCTACAACCATACAGTACCTTTTTCAGAGAAAGTGAAAATGGGTTATCACTGGCACCATTCCACATGAAAATAAAATGAATGTGAAATGGCATATTTGAGCCGATAGTGGGTTTTCCACAGTTTGCTGTCTAATTTATTGTATAATAATTAGTATTTTTGGAACGCTTTAGAAGATGCTCTTGATAACAGGCCCCTAGCGATAGTTCGCAATTGTTGAATACAGCAGGATGGTGCACCTGCACACAATTTTAGTGCCGTTCGCGTGCGGTTTCTACCACGCATTTGCCCGATATAACCTCGCTTGATGCCTTCGTATGGGGTCGGTTAATCTACCCCCTAATAGTTTCCGAGATACGGCGTTTCAAAGATTCGTAAATTCTTCAGTTTTAAAATTTTTTTGCGGTTTTTTTCGTAGACAAACCTTTTCTTTTATTTACCTATTGTTAATCAAAAGAATTTTTACTTCGTTTGGTATATTGTGAAAGCACTTAATTAATTTCAATGTTGGGGATACTGTATATCAATTTTATTTTATCACGATGTCTGTGGTTTGGTGGTGAAGGAAATTTGTGTTGTTGAGATTTTTTTGTTAAAGAATTATTGCAACTGAACGTAGCGTATAACGTTCGTAAATAATTAGTAACCCGTTCAGTGAAAGTGGTTAAAAGGGACGAACTCGCCCTCTTTCCGATGTCTTTGTTTTTCGAAAGGGAGATGTGAAAGGGAACTAAACCAAGCTTATATTCTGCTTTCACACTACTCCAGAGTGATATTGCACTCGAATGCAACAAGTTTGTTGTACTGGACGGTGGATTTCTGCTACATAAAGTAATCTGGTAGCAACATCTTTCCATTACAGAAATACTGTTATAAAGTATGTGCGAAATATTGTTAAAAGATATAATAATGCGGTTGTGTTGACGTTATAACGGTAGCCCAAGATAAATTCTTTCGAATGACCAAAATAAAATGAATCCCATAGCCATGCTTAAAATTAAACTGAAGAAACAAGATATACAGGGTGGCACAATGAAAACGAAACAGACTGAACTCAAAGACACGTCGCTTTTGGTGGGAAGGGGGACATCTTTGACCTCAAAATGTACACCCCTACTGTTATGTCAACCGCCTAAGCATAAAAAAGATATATATTATTTAAACAATATAAATACTGATTTCTGTTGAATAGGTATACAAAAAATATGTCGCGTCACACTTAATTGATATATTATGATTGGTAAAAGGGGGAAATTGTAAGGCACTAAAAATGTCTAAGAATGTTAGAAGGGCGTCATGCTTGATTTCCATATATAAAATAAACCCTCTTTGTTTTCTAAGGAATACATGTTATGTATACCCTTGGCCACATTAATAAAATCCAATCACACGAAAGCTGTAGTCGAATAAAGATCGTCTTTACTTTACCTCTGTGTTTTATTGCAACTACCCCATTAACCCATTAATAATTTCCCCCCTCTGACACGCTTTCTGATTTTAAATATAAGCAAAAAAACAAAATAAAAAAAATCATCAAAAACGAGGCTGTTGATGTTGAGGACTTCCTCGTTTATGTACCTTTCGACATATACATATATCTAATTTTTACTATTTGCGATATGTTTGTCATTGGGAAACAATTGTAGGATGATTCGCCCCCGAAAATTCGCCCCCCGGAGTATTCGCCCCCAAGAAAACTCGTCCCTGGAAGATTCGGCCCCGGAAATTTCGCCCCAGACAATTTCGACCCCGTAGGATTCGCCCCATAAGATTTATTAACCCTCCGACGTAAGAAAGTTACAGCAGTTACAGCAGTTCATAAAATTTTGTTTAAGGGGACTAGGGATAAAGGATAGGCAACACACAATGGTCACTGAAATTTGCAATAAAAGTCGAAACTTTTGAGTAATTTTTGAAGCCCAAATATTAATTCTAACTAGAGGTCTTATCGGAAATTGATAGATATATAGAAAGTCATTAAATGTAGCGATTTATTTTTTTGATAAAATAATTTAAGTCGTGTATAAATGATAATCTTGAATTTACTAAGAACGCGAATACTGGCCTTAGTAAAAAAATATTGAAAAAGTAAATCCGCACAATTTATTTAGTAACTAAGTGGATTAAAAAAATATATTACGAACTGCTTCAAATTATCAAATAAAACGTAATTTTTACTCAAAAGTTTATGTAA